TTTTTTGGCCTAATTATTCTGGCTAGGACTTCCAGTACTATGTAGAATAGAAAGGGCAAGTGTGGGCACCCTCGTCTTACTCTTGCTTAATCTTAGAGGAAAAGCCTTCACTTCACCACTGAGCGTGATATTAGCTTTGGACTTGTTGAGTGTAACCTTTATCGGTGCCTACCTTTTTTTCAGTGTAACTCTCCCTACTTGAAGAAGGCCAGAGACCTCATTATATTGGTCTTTTTGAATTTGCATTAGATAGAATTTCAAGAAAGAAAATAAGCCAGAACCAGTGGGATTAGAATCTATAGCTGCGGGCTAAGAAATTAGCCAAGTGGAAAGGGCTCAATTTCTCATGTTCCTCTCTATCAGCAATCTACTACTAACTTCAGTTTGCAGAATTTTACAGAATTTTGTGAGTTTTAAAGAAATGTGTTCCTCTTAATTTAAAAATAATAAGAAATCATATGTAATTTGGCACATCCTAAAAATATAAGGGATGAAAGAAAAATCACTCATAATTCTACTACTGTTATTTAATTCAGTTAATAGTTTGAAGTGCATCATTCTAATCATACACATAACTTTTTTTTGTGTGTGTGTGCTGGGAATTTTACCCAGGACTTCACATGTACTAAGCACATACTCTACCACTGAGCCACACCCCAACCCACATAGTTTTATCTACAAACTTGGGCTCTTAATTATTTTGAAATGATTTTGTTTTCTTTTCTTGTTTTGTCATAGAAATTGATTTTTTGGGAATCACATCTATAGTATTCCTGATCAGCTTCTTCATTTTTTTTTTCTGTGCTAGGGATTGAACCCAAAGTCTCCCACATGCTAGATAAGCCCTCTGTCAGTGAGCTACATTCCCAACCCCATGATCAACTTCAAAATAATTTTATTTTCATATACTATTTCACTCTTAGACTATTTCATAGCCTAAGGTTTTGTTTCCCCTTGAGTTTTTAAACTAATCCTCTGTTGTTGGATATTGATATCATTTGTTTATATTCTCTTTCCTACTATAAAACTTGCAGTGAATATCATTTAAACAAAATTTTTCTGCATACCCATGATTGATTGTTTGAGATACATTTCTTTTATAACAGGAGCTTTAAATAAAACATATAAACTTTGTAAAAGTCTTTTATGATATTGATTGCAAATCTTCCCCTTACTTTCACATCTCTAAAAAGCTATTTCAATTTATACTCTTTTCACCCATGTGATGTTTTTTACTCTTTTTTTTAAAAAAAACACAGTTGTTGGTTCTCCTCTTTATAAATAATTGTCTTTTAATTGAACATTTTTCTTTCTGATTTTCTCTTCTTTTTTCCCCCAACTTTCTCTCTCCTTGCCTTTGCACTCCTTCATCAATTTATATTCCTTAAGTTTAAAATGATCATTTTTAAGCTTAATTTTTATTCTACCTTGCACCTTTTGCTGGAGACAGTTTACAGAATCCTTATGAAAGATATCATGATTACACAAATATTGTGAACTCACTTAAAAGCGATTAATATTGTTGAAAGAAGAAAAAATGTTTATTAAGCACTTGAGTATCCATACCATGCTGAGGACCCTGGAAGATACCTGAGAAGGGCAAGGCATGGTCCCAGGGGCCTCACATTCTTAGTTGGGGAAATACAACCAATCTTTAATCTCTAATTAGTCATTTCTCTAATCATACTCTAAGAATTGTGCTTCTCAATCTTTTTAGATCCATACCTATGAAAATACTTGCTCATTATCCTCTGTGCTTTACCCCCTCACCAGCCAAGAAGATTTTGCCTTTCTTTTCTCTATTACAAATTACAGAATTAGATCCATTGAACATCCTCTTTCAAATTACCTGGACACCTAGGAACTTCCTGTTCTGATGCGCCTTCTTGTCCCCAGTGGAGAATTACTTCCTTAGAGAATCATCCAAAGCAAGACTCCATGAAATTGACTCTAAGAAGCTGAATATGGGCAGTTTCCAGGGCAGGCCTGTTTTGATGAGCCCAGTTATCTGTGCCTCTTTTGCTCTCCTCTGGGCACCCTTGTCCTACTCTATCCCTGTAGTGAGTCAGCCTGCCCCAGCTTGGCTCCTCCACATCAGCACATGCTCACACCAGCAAGCCTGCTCTCACCTTCCCTTTATAATAACCACCCTACTCCCTGATCCCAAACATCTTTCTTGAAGTTGGGGTTCTGCCTTGAATCCCAATAGTTGTCTTTCTTGCTCTATCCCTCACTCTTTCAGTTCCTTTGTTTCTTCTTGTCATCCACTCTCATCACTGACTTGATGGCCTAACCCTTTCCTCCCTGGAATTAGGTCCCTTAATTTCTACTGACCCAGTATACAGCACAGTGCCTGGTCGAACACATTGTGCATAACAAGTATTTGTTGAATGGCTGAATGAATTGGAAATATTCTCTTGTTTTAATTTAAATATGTCTTGGGCATAACTGAGGTATATTAACATAATACTAATATGTCTTTCTTCTTTCCTTCCTGCCCTAGAATTCTTATTTTTGTTTTCCCATCATTCTGTGTCAAGTTCTGTACTAAAGTTTGCACGTTATTTTTTGATTTTCACAACAATGTTTCAAGACATCTGTTGCCATCTTCATTTCGTATATGAGGAAGCTAAGGGTCTACAGGTTCACTGGTTCCTCCAAAGTCATTCAGTGAATCAGTGGTGGGCTTCATTTCTTCATGGACCCACTCTAGGAATCACTAACCCCTGAACTCATTCTCGAGTTCCAGGGACTTGCTCCTTCTGTCCTTCCCATGACCCTGATCTTATCCTGATTGATCACCATCCTCTTTGTCTGAATCCCAGTTGTGACCTGTGGAGTTGTGAGGGAAGGAAAAGGCTGAGAGGTCTTGACAAGGACCTTTACCAGAGAGATTGAAGCCAAGAACTGGGGGAAGGGGAAGAGCCAAAGTTTCGTCCACATTTTCAAACTGAGAGAGGGCAAGAGTGATGTTAGCACCCAAAGAAATGGGTAGTAGAGAAGTCTTGCTCCTGGATTGTTAAGTCAGGCTTGAATTTCAGTGACTATTCACTGGGTAACTGTTATGATTTGGTATGAGGTGTCCCCCAAGAGCTCGTGTGTTAATACAGGACTATTCAGAGGTAAAATTATTAGATTGAAAGCTGTAACCTGATCAATTTGAATGGTCTGACTGGGGTAACTGTAGGCAGGTGGGTATGGCTGGAGGAGGTAGGTCCCTGGGGGCGTGCCCTAGGAGGGTGCATCTTCCTTGTGGCCCCTTCCCACCTCTCTCTCTCTACTTCCTTGCTGCCTTGAGAAGACAGCTCTCTCTGCTACGCCCTTCCCCCATGATGTTCTGCCTCACCTTGGGCCCAGAGCAATGGAGTCTGCCGCATATAGAATGAGACCTCTGATTCCAGGAGTTAAAATAAATTTTTCCTCTTTTCAGTTGTTCTTGTCAGGTATTTAATCACAGCAATGAAAAACTGTGGATGAATCTCTTAGCTTCTCTCAGCCTCAGTTTCCCCTTCTTTTCCCTGAGCATAGTCTTATCTGATTCTCATGCTTGTCAGTTTGCTGGTCAAATGATGCGATATACGTGACGTGCTTTGTAAGGTACAAAGCCATATACACGAGTCAGCTGCCGTAAGTAGTGTCAGATGTGTTATTACTGGAGTCACATTGTAAATAGAGATGCCAGCTTCTTCAGTTGAGTATATCTATGCCAGGGCCAGCAAATGATGATCCATGGGCAACTCTAGCTTGTCTACTGTTTTATATGGTTGGTGAGCAAAGAGAGCTTTTTACATTTTAATATGGTTGAGAAAAACCAAAGAAAAATGTTCATGACAGATAAAAATTACATGAAATTTGAATTTCATTATCTATAAATAAAGTTTACTGGAACATAGCCAGACCCATTTATTTATATAACATCTATGTCTGCTTTCATACTACAGCAACAGAACTGAGTAGTTGTGACAGACGATATGCACATAAAACCTAAGGTATTTACTATCTGGTTCTATAAGGAAAGGTCCCAGAGATGAAAGAAAGTTCAAGGAAATCTGAAAAAATTTTAAACTAAATTCTCTTTCTTGATAATAAAGGTAAAAATGAAGATGTGTTTGTCTTTTTTCTCTTTTTTGGTGCTTTAAAAATGAATCCTCACTAATAAAAATATTTCAAAAAATGAATATTTATTCAGTGTTGGAACATTATTTTAATATTGAAGGCAATTAAGTTTAAAAGGTTTCCACCTCAAACCACCCTTAACATGGCTGTTTCAACACATCTTTATTTTGATCGGTGCTTCTTTCTACTCTTGGCATATTTTGTAATTATGATCCATATCGTAATTATGATCTATGTATAATTTCATAGTTGATGCAGTCCTTTCCAGTTGGCTTTCATAAATATTACTTGATTATTATTCTTATTAGTCATAGTGGTTATGTTGCTATAGCATGGTACAGTTCACAAGCTGCATGTGTTTCAGAAATACTTCTTGTTCTTGCCTTTGATCAGATTCTTGCATCTTCAACTGCGACTGCAGTTTTGACTCTTTGGAGCCACAGCCAGGCCACCCTGGTTGCCCCATATCTTCTGTTCTCTGACATTGATCCAAGTGCCACATTATCTTAGAGCTTAAAAACAAAGAAAGATAAGAAATAAGGCTAAAGGAAAAATGTCAGAGAAAAAAGTGAATGTGATACTGTAAAGGTGACTTCCTTTCTTTTTCTCCAGACATCCCCAAACTCAAAGTAGTCATTAATATTAGAAAAACTATTTAGCAAGCAAAAATCATTGTTCACTTAGTAATGACTGAAGGGTTGTTTTCTCTGCTGTATTTCTGAATAAGTAGGCATAAAAATAAGACCATTATTGTCATTATGTTACTATTGTTGACATATTGTATTTTAGACCCCAAATCCCTTCAGTGTGTCCAATTAACTGAATATTATGAAATCTAAGTAAAAGACAGCTAGTAACATTTTATTCTCTTATTTTTTTCCTAGTGAGAAGCTGGATGGAGAAACTAAAAGATAAGGTAAGAAAAATCTCTTCTTTCTTTGGACTTATCTTGAAGGGCACAAGGTTTTGTGAAACAAAATATCTGAGAGCTTCCTTATTTGATTCCAGAGATACAAGGCCTCCTCCAGGTGCCCAGCAGGAAAGACCCTTCCTTCAGTTTCCTTCCTGTAGAACCCAGGAGACACCTTAGTCTTTGAAGGTGGCTTTATAAGGGATAAGAATATACCTTAGTTTGTATGTTCAGCTGAAAAATATTCTTGACATATCCAGGTAGAGTTTCTTCTAGGGAGTTTCAGCAGTGTAATCCAATTCGGTTTGGCCTTTACTGTCCCAGTGTGACGTGACAAGAATCTACACTATGTGTGTAGTTTATTATAGTGCTGCTCCTCATCAAGTGTTAATAAGCTGACCTGTCTGGATGGCCAACTATGGAAAAATATTTTCCTATTTTGTATCAATTCTGCTGACATGGAGATTGACAATATTAACTTCTTTCCAGGTTCATATTTTCATTTTCTTTTGATTTTCAATGCTCTCCAAGTTTTCACTTTTGATTACTTCTTAATTTTAAACTGGAATTGCTCATAAAAATATTGATAGAGTCTTGAATTCCTTGGTGTAAGCCTCTGTCAGATTCTATTATCATAGCCTAGCTCAGACTTAACTGGGGGTTTTGGTTAAATGGAAATCTTTACAATATCAGATATTGAGTTACCTCCAGTTCTCTAGTCTCAATAGGTTTTCATTTGTGGCATTTCATATATTTTTATTATTTGGATCATTTTCCCATATTTAAATTATACTATTTATTTTGCTATACTCAATGTTAAAGGAGAAAAAATATTCAGTTGCGATTAAAATGATATAACTAGGTTAATTCTCACTATTATGTTTCTGTTTTTCAGTATAATTTACATATACATAGCTGAGACTGTTACGTGTTTGTTTATGTTAAAAATGATGTTGAAAACTTTAAGGCTGCTGAGGTCAGGGGGGACCAGTTTGGTATTTGTAATGGATCCCAGTTGTACAGACTGAGCATGATTTGGGTGAAGAAAAATTCAAAAGTGTAGAATTGGATATATTTATATTGGTAGCACTTCTTATTATTGTTCAGGGGGAAATATGATTCAAAGACTAGTAAACAGGCTAGGAATCCAAATACCATTTTTTTTTCTATAGAAAATATCCCTCTGAGCTATAAAAAAGGACAAAAAATTGTCTTAAGAAATTAATTTGGCTGGGCGCAGTGGTGTATGCCTATAATCCAGTGACTCAGGAAGCTGAGTCAGGGGGATTGCAAGCTCATAGCCAGTCTCAGCAACTTAGCAAGGCTCTAAGTGAGTTAGTGAGACCCTGTCTCAAAATAAAAAAATAAAAATAAAATTTAAAAAGGGCTGGGGATGTGGCTTAGTGTTAAGTACCTCTAGATTCAATTCCTGAGTATGGCGGCGGGGGTAGGGACCAACCAAACAAAAACAAAAACAAAACAAACAACCAAGAAATTAATTTTGGTATGTGACCCATATGAAATTTGATATTGCAAAATTTAATACCTGCGTGTGTGTGTGTATTTAACACTACCTTTAAAAATCTGTGCAACTTTAGAGAAAGTTTCTATTGTTTCTTCCTATGAACCCTTTATTCTTATCTTGACTCAAAAGACTGGCACTTTCTTGCTGACCCTTTCCATCAAGAGAAACAATTTGATATGTGGCCCCTTGTTTTCTGGCTTATTTTGAAGTTTCTCCAGCCCTCTTCAATTTCTTCTCTAGCATTTATTTATTATGTCTTAATTTAAAAAATTGGAAGAAGAAAACTTAAGCCTCCAACAATGGTGATCATATTTAATGTCTATGTCTTTGTCTTTTTATTTCTTTTTGGATGGACTCATTCTGATCTTCCCCATATCCCTCTGTCCTCCATACTTGAAATATTTATTGCTCATCTGATGTGTCCATTCATATGTATATACAATGTATGCATCTCCTTCCTCCCTTCTTCATCTACCATCTATAAAAGTCTTGTTAGTCATCATCTTCAGAATTTGAGGGCATAACTATTGTCTCTTTAATGAAAGTCTCAGAATCCCTTAGAACTGAATTCTAAACTACATATTTAACTTGGCTCTTCAGCCAAGCCAGGACACCCTCTTGGTTAAGCTTTATCAATTGTTCCAGTATTGATTCTCTATTAGTTAACTGGGCTCTAGAAAGGGTGGTGTTTTCAAAAGTTCTGAATTGCCCCTTTTGTTGTTGTTTAGTCTTTCCATATTAGTTAGGACTTAGATCAGCTATGAGTGAGGACAACCCCCAAGGACAACAGCTTAGCCAAGATAGATGTTTGTTTCTTATTTATTAATCTGGAGATAATAATCAAAGGTTAATTTGGATTGACATAGCGACAGGGACTCAAGCTGCTGCCGTCTGATGCTCCACTGTTTCTGACCTTCATTCCCAAGGTCACCTTATGTTCTTGGGTGGCAGTTCTAATTTGGCTATGTACATATTCTAGCTAGAAATAAAAAGAAAAAAGGGAGGTTAACAATACTACTTCTTTTTTTTTGAACCGGGGATTGAACTCAGGTGTACTCGACCACTAAGCCATATCCCCAGCCTTGTTTTGTATTTTATTAGATATAAGGTCTCACTGAGTTACTTAATGCCTCGATTTTGCTGAGGCTGGCTTTGAACTCTTGATCTCCTACCTCATCCTCCTGAGCTGCTGGGATTACAGGTGGGTACCACTGAACCCAACTTACTTCTTCCTCTTAAAAGGACAAATTAAGGCTCTCTGTCATTCTTAAAGGATGGTGGATAAAGGGTCTTCCTCCGTTTAAAAATTTATATTACAAAGTTTTTACATTAAAATAACATGCTTATGGGACTGGGGTTGTGGCTCAGTGGTAGAGTGCTTGCCTAGCATGTGTGAGGCACTGGGTTCGATTCTCAGCACCACATATAAATAAATGAATAAAATAAAGTTCCATCAACATCCAAAAATATTTAAAAAATAACATGCTTATTTTAGAAATTTTAAGAGAAGTAAAAAAGCAAGAAGGAAAATAAAAGAGAATACTACTTTAAGATGATCATTATTTATTAACATTTTGCTATATTCCTCCAGACATTTTTAAATGCATTTGTGTGTGTGTTCTTTTTACAACATGCTGTACACACATATACATAATCTTTATAGTTTTAACTTGCAATGAGTTCATTGTATATATCCCATGCAATCAAGTATTTCTGACTACATCATTAGTGACAGATGTGCTTTATTGCACAGTGAGAATGAACCACAGTTGATGTAACCAGTCTCAGTAGGAAACACTGACAGTGAAGTAAATGCTGTATTTTTCAGCATTTCAGGAAAATAGAGCCCTATGGTTACAAATTAGGGTATGAGCATTGAGGGCCAGAATTCAATGAGTCTAAATTCACCAGAACATCAGTCTTTTTTTTTTTTTTTAGTGGATCTGGAACATTCTAGAATGTACAAATAAGCATTGTTCTCTTTAGAAGAGTTACTTCTACACAAGGCTATCTAAACCAAAACAAAACACTAGCCCCAGTGCTTCTGGTGTCAAGAGGGAAACCCTAATCCAGTTCCCACAATACCACCAAAAATGTCCCTTGATAATAGAAAGAAGTGGTTGACATTTATTTGTGTATCAGGCTAAAAAATTTGCACGGGAATTGAGGCCAACCCTTCCAATGTCTTTATTTCCTTCAGCAACATCTTGTCTCTAGATGGAATTCAGCTCCCTCTTAAAAGAACATGTCTTGGAATTTTCCCAAGCCATGAACATATCTTCTTGGTGAAGTTTATCACCTGGCCATACCAAGCTTCATGGAAGCCAAGGAACAGTGTCTTTATTTTGTACCAAGTCCCAAATTGGAAACCTTATAGGGATAGAAGAAGAAAAATGGACATTGAGGGACAATAACACTCAATAACCTTAACCTTTTGGGTTAAATATCCAAGTTAATGATGCTTGTTAGACAAATCTTACCTTGGCTACCTATTGATATATCTTTTCAACATATAAGTGGCATTTTCCAAACTGAAGTCGCAGTATCTATTTTAATTGTGTAATAAATATCAGCCCTGTTGTGGATGTCACCAAGACCGTTCTGTTTCTTCTAGCTTTAGAAAGGCATTCAGAAGATGAACGGCCCAGATGAGACTTCAGAGCAGTGATTCTCCCGTGTGGTCTGGACCAGTGGCATCAGCATCATGTGGGAGCTTGTTAGATAAGCAAATTATCAGACCCACCCTAGACCCTCTGCGTCAGAAATCCTGGGAATAGGGCCCAACAATCTGTGTTTTAGCAAGTCTGACAGGTGACGCTACTGCATGCTCAAGTTGGAGAACCACAGTTGCATCCAAATCCTAAGGGCACTGTCCCAATCTAGCAGGCTAGACACAGTACCATGTGTCATCTGGTTTTCTTAGAGCTTTCTTGACAATGGAAATTCCCCAACAAATCTATTTGCCTAAGAAGGGAGGATGCTTTTCTCATAAACTTCAAATAGAAACCCCAAATCCCAAAGCCAAATAAATAAAAACAAGTATTTCTAGTCATATTTTGACTATAATCTACTTAAAAAAATTTTAAACTTTATTTGGAAATAATTTAAAATTTGTGGGCAAGCTATAAGAGGAAGAATAGTACAAAGAACATCCCTACCACCGTTTATTTAGGTGCACCTATTGTTGATATTTTCCCCATTTGATTTGTCACCTGTGGCACCCACACCCTTTTTGTGAACCATTTAAGGACAAGTTACTTATATCATGATCTATTTACTATTAAATACCTCAGTTCCTAAGAATAGAAATACTTTGTTAGTCAATCTTAGCACAGTTATTAGCTTCATTCCCTGTATCAGTGATATAGTACTCTTATGTCATCTGACATCTACATTTCAGTTTTTTCAATAGATCCTAAATGCCTGTATGAAAGCATTTTTTCTCCTCTAGTACAAGATTTAGTCTTGGATTATATAACATATTTCATTGTCATGTTTCTTTAGTTTTCTTTCATCTGAAACATTTTGTAGACATATTTTATCTTTGATGATTCTGGTATTTTAAAAGAACAGTCATTTTAAAAAAAAAAAATAGAATATTCTTCATTTTAGGTTTGTTGGCTGTTTCCTTGTGATTAGATTCAGGTGATGCCTTCTTGGTTGAAATAATCCTTCAGTGGAATTGCATCCCTCTCAGGGTGTCATTTCTGGAGTCACATACACATCCAATAATTTTGAACAAGCAGAAGGTACTAGTCACAATTTATAACTTAAAACATGTGTATATGCCATCTTATTAATTTTCATTTTTTAAAGAAATAAGAGGCAATTCTAAAAGAAGAGCTTGCTTCCTCTTATTACTCAGTTTTCAAAAAACATTTGAATTATATTTGAAGACAATGGATTGCTTTGCTTCCATCTTGTAATTTTCTTGTCATTTGAAAGCAAGGCAGATGTTACCGGAAAAGAAAAAAAAAAAGAAAAAGAAAGGAAGGAGTACAAAAAAGAGAGATTCAGTGAATTCTTGTGGAATCTGCATGATTTAAAACTCTAGAAACAAGAAGTCCAAATGTGTCAATAAGAATAAGGAGTGGTGTGTTTTGGAGTGTTCAGGTTGGTGGAGTGGGGTTAAGTTCCATAGCTGGTGGAGACCCATGCAGGGGTTGCTCAAGTTGACCTTCCAAAAGGCCGAATATCGTTCATAGCTCTGAAAAGTCTAGTCGACTGGGTTTCTCACATTTATGGTGAGAGCACCCCAATTTTTCTTTTGTCCAGTGTTTTCCTACATGGAAAATTACAGAGTGTTTTAAATAAGCCTTAAGCAGATCTGGAAGAATTTTGGAAAAAGTTTGGGCTTCTACAAAGCATATTAATTTGTTGAAAAACTGACTGGGCTTTGTTTCTTGAGGAAAGATACTTAGTATGCTGATGAAAAAATGCTATTGTTCTCAAATTAATGGAAAAATTTCCATATTTTGTCCTAACTTAAGACTTTGAAAGGCAGAACCAGTGAGGGAGTTGGCTGAGCACAAGAAGAGGTGCTTGTCTACCTTGGATTTGTAGCTAGAAATGTTAGGAAAGGGCCCCAATGGCACAGACCAGTCCTTTAGGAAATTTTTTTTCTGTGCATCTCTGTTTTTTGCTTATACTGAAAGATAATAAAAATAGTTTGTGCTATATTAAAAATTAAAGAAATAGTCAGATAATTGAATAGATCCCCCTCCTCCACATAAGACTTACCTAAAGTACTTTTTATAGTTTAAAAAAAATTTTTTTTGGGGGGGTACCATGGGTTGAACTCAGGGGCACTCAATCACTGAGCCTCATCCCCAGCCCTATATTGTATTTTATTTAGAGACAGGGTCTCACTGAGTTATGTAATGCCTTGCTGAGTTGCTGATGCTGGCTTTGAGCTCCAGATCTCTTGCCTTAGCCTCTGGAGCTGTTGGGATTATAGGCATATTCCACTGTGCCCTGCAAAAAAATTTACATATTTTGTTTAGATAAGTTTCTAGGGAGACAACCCTACATCTGGGTTTTCCCCTGAAGGCTCTCTAGGTTAGTACATACCCGTAGCCCGTGGGCGTTTTATTTGCCATCATGCAGGGGTCCTGTGTATTATGATGGGCTTTCCCTGAGCGTGGGTGGATCCTGAGCTATTTACTCAAGCCCAGGGATATATGGGGATCTCTCTGCTCTTTTAGAACCAAAGTGTCTAGAGTAACTCTTGATGGTCTTGGGACATGCATAGGTTTGATACCTCCAGGATCTTTTGGAGGTGTCAAGGCTGTTGGTAGGGATCTTTGTGCCCCTTCTGCCAGTGCCTTTCTCTGGGGCTGGGAACACTCAGAATTCTCCCCCCACCCTTGGCATCAGTCTTGTCCACTGAGCAGATTATCCCATTCATAGAAGTGAATCCATCCATCTTATGTACATGCTTTCTCCTCGACCCTTTTTGCCTTTTCTGTAACATCTCACACCCCTCCTATCTCGGCAGGCTCTTTTCTTCCCTGTTGTTTCTAGCCACTCTCACATTCTGCTCACTCACAAGCACTTTGAGCTTTCCTTTCTTGCTGTAATGCAGAAGGGAGGGAGGGAGGGAGGGAGAGAGAGAGAGAAAGAATATCGTTGCTGCCAAGGCTCTTCTTTTACCCTCCAAGGAACACAGTATTCCAGAGGACACTCCAACCCCCTTGAAGCTCCACTCAGGCTGTTTCCAATTTATAGCATTTTAATAGTCCTGGCATTCTCAGAAGCTCCCTTTATCCATCTTTAATACAAATTATATTTCTGTCATTTCTGTTGACAAATGTGCATAAGCACGTGGCTGGAGGGGCCACTAGATCTGGCCGACTGATTTCAATACTTCACTTCTAAGTATTTGAAATATCCCAAAATAGTCATACCTCTCTCTGTTGCCTTCTCTTTAGAAAGCACTTTTTTTCCCTTAGATTCTGTCTTATTTGATAACAGAGCAGAGAACTCAAAGCCTCTAAAATCCTGCTGCCATCAGCAGAAATGAGGAACCCAGGGCTGTGGTCTGTTCAGCATCCTAATGTGTGTTTCCTTTTCTATGCAGGCTGGCTACATGTCTGGGATGCTGGTTCCTGTAGGAGTGGGGATAGCTGGAGCCTTGTTCATCTTGGGGGCACTCTACAGCATTAAGGTTATGAATCGCCAAAGGAGAAATGGCTTCAAAAGGCATAAAAGAAAGGTATGGAACCAACGAGAGCAAAACCTAATCAGTTTCAGAACATTCTTTGCTTACCTAATTTGCTTAATAAAGCACATAGGGTTTAATGGTGCACGAACGGTGTTGACGTGCCCAGTGGTTTGGATTAGCTGCTGCAGCTGCTGCCTCGCTTCATTGGTTAGTGTGTCTTTTAAAGTGGGCCTGTTTCTCAGCTTTGTTCTGTGGCAGAGAGAGTTTAATGTGTTTCTGTTTTCTTTCTCTAGCAGAGAGAATTCAACAGCATGCAAGATCGAGTAATGCTCTTAGCTGACAGTTCTGAAGATGAATTTTGAATTGGACTTGGGTTTAATTGGGACATTCAATGATGTTGTAATTTTGTTTTTATTTTGGGGGAGAAGAAGAAGAAGAAGAAGAAAGAAGAAGGAAAAACAACAACTTCTATTGCATTGCTGCTATCAGGCCGTCAGTTCTAGACCTGCTGGGTAGTAGATTTTTCTTGCACTGAGCAGAAAAGGCATGCTGTAAACTAAATGTAACACACAGTGTTTGGTTATTCTGTAGTGAACTTCCTGTAACAATGGGCTACAATTTATACATACACAACATAATGTTGTTCAGTAGAAATAGCTGGATTAGGTAGGGTAAATATTTTGTATTTTTCCACTGTCTTTTCCTTGACTTGGATTACTTGCATTAAGTGTGATGATTGTAGCCACCAAGGCATGCTCGACTTTGAAATTGAAATCTTAACAAAGAATAACTTCTCATAATCACACTCTACCTACCTGAGATTGTAGGCTTGGGGGCTATGGTACATCCTGCATTTGTATCAAAACCAGCGTCAGCTGAGAATGAATAAGAAAGATCTCAGCCCATTAGGAGTACATGTAGATTTGTACGTATCTAGCTTTGTGTACTTCAGTTTCCTAGTTTTATTGTTTTCATCTTTTGTTTTATTCTTATTCTTGGCAAGGAAAAAAATGCATCAGAAGTAATACATTAAATTGACTTTTAATGTATGTTTGCTCTCTTAAATAGTGTCATTAAGTCCAAGAACGTCTTACATGTTTATCATTATGAGATATTCTTTTTGTGTACTATTTGACTTTGCCAAAAAGAAATGAGGAAGAAATCTCTGCCATTTGGCTTTGTGCTTGCATGACTACTACTATGAATAATTCAGAGTATTTATTTTCCACATCTGTGGTATTGGCTATGGAGAGAGTGGACCACCATTGGTACTTTTTTGGCTTTATTATAAAAACATACATTCTGTGGTAGAAGCAGGATCAGCACCCAGATCCCTTGTACACAGTGGAACTCATGGGAAACCAGCTTCTCTCAGGACATCTCATCATGGGAATGATAAAGTAACTGTTCAGATCATTTTTCATTTGCTTTGGAATATGATTCCCTGCCCTATACCAAAATAGGATATTAAAATTACCCTATTTGAATCTGGGCATTTGGGACTTGTAGTTAGTTGAATTTTGGGGGTAGAGATTGACTCATTTCCATGGAAGGATAAAGGTTAGTAACAATAATATTACTATGGAGAACTTGGTTGTATTCAATGAGCCTGTTCTACTATGTCAAGCTAGTTACAGGCATTCCACATAGCTACTGTTTTCATTTGACCAAAGATGGAACTGAAGCAGAGATGTGAACCAGTTACCCAAAGTTATATCCAGGAAGAATCAGCATGAGAACTTTCTTGGACTTAAAACCATGTGACATGTGCCCTTTTCACATACTTCAGAGGGAACAGTAACATTGCAGAATCCTTCTTTAAAACCAAGAGTGTAAGGAAATAGCTGCTTGGTGAAGGAGCATTTGTGCTTCTGTCTTTGTTGAATGAATGATGAATGATGCCTTACTAATTTCTCTTTCACACAAGTTCTTTCCTTCCATATAAATTTAAGTATCATCACTAAGGAACTAATAATAGCAAAAAATTTCCTAGAATCCATTCTTGAATGATAAATGGTTCACAAGAAGGCTTCATTCAGTAATTTCAACTTTTTGTCCAGAGAGGTAAACCAATGTGTGAAACTGATAGAAATGAAAAGTTTTGTAGAAACAAATAGAAGTTAGCCATTGACAGGGTGGCTAAAGGTTGGATTTTAAAAAATATCATTCAGAACCATGACACTTAAAAGTGATTTGTAATTTCATGAGCAGAGCCATCCTGATATTGCAGAAAGGATGTTCTCTTTTTCTGAAAGCAGCCTCTTATTATAAGTGTTCCTCAGGTTAAGTAAGTAGGCATGGGGGGCATTGCTGTCTGTATTCTTGTTTATAGCAAATATGTAATAGTTTTACCTAATTTAGCAACAACACATGGGTGACACTGATGGTTACTAATGTCTGGGACTACTTACTCAATCTGTAGCGTTAACTTGTTGTAAAGTTCAAACTCTAGTATAATGAAGTCACAATAATAGACACTTAGTTTTGTTTTTCCATGAGGATGACATTCATGCGAGTGTAGGCAGAAGCAGAAGTGTCTCTGCAGCCTTTTTTGGGACACCCATCTATTAAAATAAGAGCTGACTTATATCATAGTAGATTTATGTACCAACTGGTTTAAACATTTGGATAAATGAAAGGTGGTATAGATATAAATTGACTATGATTTAGTCTTAAAGGAAGGAAAACTATTAATAATGTGGATGAACTTAGAGAACAGCATGCTAGGTGAAATAAGCTAGTCACAGGGTAAATACTGCATGATTCTAATTATATGAAATGTCTAAAATATTCAAGCTCATAGAAGCAGAGGTGGAACAGCGGTAGCCAGGAACTGGGGGAGGGACAAATGGGGAGGTGTTAGTCAAGTGGTATAAAGTTTAAATTGTGCAAAATAAATAGCTTCTAGAGACCTGCAACATAGTGCCTATAGTTAACAATACTGTGTTGTGCACTTAAAATTTTAAGAGGCAGAGCTCACATTAATCATTTTTACCATAAGAAAGAGAGACAAGAGAAAGAAGGGCCCTGTGGCAAGAGACCTTTTCTTAGTCATGCTATCCAATATGTAACACCTGCCATAGTGGTGAAAGGAAAACCAATGTCAAGAGAAAAGATGGAAGCTACTAGAAAAAGAATAGAAGGCTGGGGTGAAGAGAAAAGTGATTCTTCCTTACCCCTGATGTCTTTTTCTATAGTCAAAGACAATATTAGTCTTTTAAACATCTTTAATTTTTTTTCTCTTCTGTAAGCTGTTTCTTTAAGTAGCTGCTGGCTTAATTTATATGCAATATTTGGAGTTAATTAGTATCCCAGGGTAACGGAGTCCCTTAGCAATGCCTTCGTCTTGGCTGCAGCTCAAATGTAGTTTTCCAGAAATACACTCTTAAAGTACCTGCATCTCTTTTGCGGGTAAAAAAAAACGTGAGGAAAAATTAAAGCAAAGTTTTAGAAAAAAGTTAAGGGCATTGTGCATTGTCTTGTGGTATAGTCAACCCAAACTGGTTTTTCATCTCATTATTTTATTTTTGTGTGCTGTGAGGATTGAACCCAAGAACTTGTGCATGCTAGACAGGCGCTGGACCAACCACTGAGTTACATCCCCAGCCCTCATATATATATATTTTTAAAGGCTTCAACTTAAAATTTAAAATGTTATGGAGATGAAAGCAATATGGAACAATATAATGCACTCTGAATGCCTAGTGCTTCCTGTCTCTGTGCTTCCAAATATCTCCTTCTTGTGGAAATTCAAACAAGACATCTTATTTGGAATCACATTCATAACTTGGGGGAGAAGAATCCAAGCATCCAGACATCCTGATTTCTGTGGATGTGAATAATCAATGCTCCTACTAGCTTCCAAAAATGAAAACAAAAACAGTTTTTGGGAACAAGATATATTACTTAGCTTGAGCTTCAAGTTGTATGGCCTTTTGGTAAGACAGGCTTTGTTTTGAGCACAGAGACTCCTGAAGAGGCAGGATTACAATTGAAGAAAGGGTCTGTCCTTCTTCGGGTATGTGAGATTTAGGTGACAAGAAAAGACATATGAGGAAAAGAAGATGGAAGAAAAATGAAAATACAAAGCAGATATAAATATGGCACAGAAACATGAGACTGTCCTAGAGGAGGCTGAAGTTCTGAATAGAAAAATGATAAGCAAAGAGAAGAATGCAAATGAGGAAATTAATTAGCAGGGAAAGGGGCCATAGAGCTACACAAATCTAATTTTGCTTCCATCCCTTCCATCAAAGAAAATTACCTTACAGCTGGGTGGAATTGAGTATGGTTGGGAAGAAATTGAAGTCCAAGATGAATGAGAAGATGAAAAGTGTGTGGTTCCTTTAAATGAGCTTAAGCTCAGTTAATAACTTCCTTAATTACACAGACTTCAAATGACTGAATATAAACTTCAAGGAATAGGAAATAATTTGAAAACAAAGCAATTTTATTAACTTCATAAAGGTTCCATATTTGAACATTTGGCATCCCTATAAGACACACACCTCTTTTTTGAAGTAGCTATTAGACTGGTAAGATGTGGATGGACTAAGAATAGACATCTAAATACGTTGCTCTGATAATTATAAACTTCAGCCATCAAAATGGCTGGAAATCTAATCCTGATGCTTGATTTCTACATGCAGAGAAGAACAACATCAAAATCACCATTTGTTTTGTAAGCTGATGTTACATAAATTCACTGGGAGTATGATTTTTGAAGCAATAGGTCTATGTAAATCCCTATTAATTAACCCAAATTTTTATTATGAGCATAAAGGATAAAGAGAGAAAGAAAGAAAGAAAAGAAGGGAGGTGGGAGGGATGGAGGAGCAAAGAGGAGGGGAGAAATGTCCCCTACGAAATGGCAGCAAAAGTACAAAGAAAGAAATCGTCTCTTCGCTTGTTCTAGTTTTCTTAAAAGCACAAATATTGGTGCAAACTCTCAAATTTTCCACAGGAAAGCAAAGATCCCACTCTCCCTTCTTAAAAAGCAACAGGAGCAGCAATACAACAATAATCACTAATAGTTTGTAACACAGAGTGCGAATTCTCACCACACCTAAGACAGCAGTCTCCAGACCTGAGATAAAAGACAGTTGTTGCTGAAAGGTGTAACCTTTTGTGTGAGAAGATGGAGGAATGGAGAGGAGTAGAAACAGAAGAATTGTCTGTTGGGAAGAAGTACTATCTTGTCTTTCTTCTCAAAGTTCATGGGTAGAAAAATAGTGCAAGCAAATGACAAGGGAGGTGTCCATTGGGTTACTTTATTACCTGGAAGGTGGAGAGGCCATCTGTTCTGGTCTCAAAAGAATAAACTGGGTATTGGGTCAAAAAATTGAGGGTTTTTTTTTTAATGACCAGTACCCTGTACATCTCAATATTTTCTCCCTAATTAGCAGTTGGATAAAGAAGGAAACCAAAAGCCTTTGAAGTGTTTCTTCTATTTTATGTCTCACAGTATGGCCACAGCATTTGTGCAGTTTCAGACTTCTTCATGACTGGAATGACTAAAATATAATCTCAGGAAAGTGTAAGAACAGTATTCCAATAAGAAGTTTTGATACAAAACCTTCAATAATTATTCCCCCCTTATTTTTTTTCTTTAGGTAAGAGAAAAAGGAAAGGAGGGAGAATTCCAAATAGTTTTATGACTGAACTAATAAAATCCCAAAGATCTAAGATTGGAGAGTGTTGCTCAGTGGTAGAGTGTTTGCCTATCATGCATGATGCCTGGGTCCTAACCCCAGAACTGCAAAAAAAAAAAAAAAAAGGGAAGGGAGGGGAGGTGGAGAGAGAGAGAGAGAGAGAGAGAGAGAGAGAGAGAGAGAGAGAGAGAGAGAGAGAGAGAGAATGAGAATAAAGAGGAGGAGGAGGAGGAGGAAAGAAGAGAGAATAGTGAATAGAGAAGAGAGATAAAAGAAAAATCCCAAATGTCCATGTCAAGGGTTGAAGTCTAGATAGTCTAAATTTAGTAACCTGAGAAACCAAGAGTACTTGATTAATATTGTTTCTTCCCAAATCAGTATTCATCAAACGCCTGCCTTTGTGTGAAGTGTTGAGAGAATAAGAGTAACAAGACAGTCTGTGGGCACGAAGAAGTTATAGAGAGAGTAAATGGACAGTTTCATCCCAGGGTCACTATGGGATTCAGAAAAGGAGTATCCAACCCTGCCAAGAACATTAGGGAGGTTTCTCTTGAGCAGGTAACATCAAACCTGAGGCCCAAAGGATTAGTAGGGGTTAGTCAGGCAAAGGGGACTATGGGATGTAAATTCTAACCATGAGAAACACAGGGAGAGATCATGGAAAATTCAGCAACAAGAAGTCAAACAGCTGAGCATGGCAGAGCCCAGGTCTGCCAGGGAAATGAAGATTGGGGTGGTGGTGGGGGGATGTATGGTATGGAATATGAGGCAGATCCTGATGGGTTTTCTAGGTCCTGTCAAGGAATCAGGACTTTAGTTTAAAGGTAGTTAGAAATCACGAAGGGTAACATGCTGAGAAGTGGTATGCTCAGGCTTGAGGTCATGGGAAGACTGGATTGGGAAGGTTAAAGTGTAGAGTTAGGGGCACCAGTCAAGGCCAGGGTGGGCAAGGTGATGCAAATGAGAGATGAATGTTGGTCTGGACCAAGGGGTAGGAGTGAATTTGTAGGGAAGAGTGGATTCTGGAGGTGTTCAGGAGGAGCAGTGAAGAATGGGACTTGGTTATTGGTTGGATGTCAAGATGAGGGAAAAAGACAATGGCCAAAGCTAACCAGGGTCATGGGCCTTCTGAGGTCTTTCAGGTATTATGGAGTCCAGTAACCTGACTTTTGGTGGAACTGACCCTGTGTTCTCTCAGCATATTCAGACCTCAGAAAGATAAACCACAAATATGCCAAAAATTGTATAGACAGCTTTAACTTTCTACAGAAGTCATGCTTGTGTGTATGCTTATTCTGAGACTTGCAATAGCAGGTGTCAAAGAATGGCTTTAAATTTAATGAAACTGATATTGAACATCTCTGGTTGAGTCCTAGGTATGAGTTACTGTCTAGGATCTGAGTGATTCTCTTGATTTACAAAGACTAATATAAGAGTTTCTTATTTTTTTCACATGAGAAACAGTATCTCATTTTTCTTGAAAAAAATTTCAAAAAGCTTCTCTCTCAAGGTCGTTCCATATGAGGATGATGTCAATGTTTGGAGGTGCAGGTTGGAGAATCTCTTGAGCCATACAGACCCCATGTCCCAGCGCTGAGTGGTTTCTGGGGCCTAGGATGAGGGCAGTTGTCCTGGACAACCATCAAGTAGCTCATCTTCCTTAGTATATGAAAAATAAAGCAATTTTTTCTCAGCTGCAATAGCAACACAGGGCTGGATTCTGGAGATCCTCAGTGATAACTGTGGAATTGAGGAAAAGCTTAAGAAGGAATAATTATCACTTCAGTCCCAGCTCCAGAAATAACCATTGTTAACAGTTTGGTCTGTATTTTTCTAATCTTTTTTTCCCCCTAGGTATTTATGATATGTTGTATATAGACACTTTTAATTTCACAGAGAATAGGTATTACAATTTATACACTATTTTGTTACCTCCCTGTAGCTATGATTTCCCATGGTTGTTTCAAAAGGAATAAATAAAAGAAAAAGAGCTGATGGAAATCCTGCAGTTGTATTTGAATGAGCAAACGATTTCATCACTAACAAGATTTGTTTGGCATTTGATGAGCCACGGCTGACCACTTCCTTCAAGACGCTTCTGTATGATAACAGTTGAAACCTGTATGATAACAGTTGAAACGAGAAGTCTCTGTGAACAGACCATCCATGGGCAAATGATATATTCTTGTGCCCTGAGGGATCAGAGAATACTTTTCTCTTTTTGCTTTGCCCTCCAAGCAAACATTGTAAACTTTTATAATTAGACAGTAAGACTGAATAACCCAAGGGTAGGTAATATGTAACATTGTGAGAAATATTTGAAAAAAAGGATACTTACTGTAGTGACCTAAATTGATTAAAGACTTGCTTGGTTGAATTCTCTTGCATCTAATTTGTATTTTTGTGTCATTTATTATTTTAATGCGCACATATTTTCTGCATCTGATTTTGTCTGGCTGAAGTTAAGTAGGCAGATGTTCACCGTTTTGTCCATTGCTTTCTTCTGTCCTTGTTAAAAAGAGGAGATGTAGCTTTTTATGTCCTTTCTGTTTCTTCCATGAGCCTCTCTTGATCCAAATCCTCTTTGTCCCTTTTAGGTTGGAAGAGTTTGCAAATAAAAGTGGGTCCAATCTGACTTAATTGGATTTATGTCTTCCTAAATAATGTTTTATTATTTTAATTTCATGTATTTTCAGAAAAATTGTGTCTTTAAAACACAAGTTAATGAAACCGTGCGGTCCTTTTGACCAAAATCTTCGTAAGCATCTCCACTAGACCACACTCTTTCAAATTTCTTGCATGTAGTAGGAGGTGAAATTAGATAAAGCACTTGATAAATCCCAGGGGAATTTATTCTAAAAATTTGTCTTTGGGTATAAAAATAAATTCTTATTCATAGAGTGTATTAGATTGAAATAGCATGTAGCAAGCATTTGGCAAACTGCTTGATGGAATCTTTGCAGAGAAAAACCACACTCTGGGGCACGTGTCCCTTCAAGGTTGGGTCTCAAGTCAATCAAAGGCAGCTGGTAAAAATTGCAAATGTAAGAATTCAATCTTATTTATTTCCCACTATGAATGATTGAGGGCCTTTTAAATTAGTTTCAGGGAATTGTTGAATAGTCTAGTTTTATGTCATATAAATAAAATGTGAATTCCAGAAATCTTAGTGAAAATCAAATTTATTTTGATTAGTGATAATAAAATCACGAATGCTTACCAAACTCTTGTTTACCAAACTGCTCTACCTACCGCTTAATAAGCTCTCTTCCTTTAACCCCAGACCCAATGAGGTAGTTGCTCTAGGTCACTGACAACTCTACTGATGGCAGACATCTCATTTGTAATAAACAATTATCCTTGACAGAAGAAACAAGGAACAAGATCTGTTCTAAATGATTTGTGGGCTTTTTTTTTTTTTTTTTTTTTTTTTTTTACAAGCTACAGGAATTAGATAGCATTGGTCTTTAACCTTGATTTTGATTCAATTTTAAAGGGATTTAATTTTTGTTGTAGCATATTGAACCTTGATTTGGGGGCAGATAATTCATCTCCCAAATGGTCTAAGGAGAGGAGTCACAGAGCAGAATGCTGCCTACTGAGTCACATTGGGAATTGAATACCTGTGGCCATATACACTCTGCTTCAACAGTCAGTGTGCAACAGTCAATCCAATGGTTTCTGGATTAAATTTGTAGTTAACTTTTGACATTCAGTAAAGTAGTAGTTTGCAATTACTTAGCAGTTAATTCAGGTTTATCACAGTGATTTAAAATAATTTCACAGTACTTTTTGTTTGGTTCTTAAATAAAAACAAGAAGGGTGTAGTTGATATGATATTTATGTAACATCACAAGACAGCCTGTACTATTATCATGGCCACATTTTAAAAGCTGAGAATATCCTGTGTTCATTGATTTCTAGATCCACAGGGCTTCCATATACAGTTCCTGGTAAACTGTATTGCTTGAGGTGTTTTCTTTTCTATCCCAGAGAATTATTGTCAAGACTGTACTTGCAGAATGAAATACTTAATTAAATTAAGTATAATGAAATAAAATGTGGGTGGCACAGGATCTTGGATTAAGGCTTAGTAAGAGGTGGTTTCTTTGCCTGAATGAAGACATACATTGAATCCAGAGACATTTCTGCAGAAAGCAGTAGAAAATCTGGAAAATATAACAATGAAGATGAAAAACAACTATGAAAAAACCAATTTGATCATAAATAATTTTTTGTGCTTCTCAAAGTATTTGTGTATGTGGGAGAGGGAGGATATGGCAGGGTAGAGAGAAAGAGCCCTAAATAACAATATTCGTATGGTCTAAACTAGGATGCAATTGAGAGCAAAAGGGGAAAACAGGGGACGTGCTATTATCTGGAATGACCCTAGGCAAACTGGAACCTAGGGACATCCTGGAAGGAGTGTATTGGGCACCTTCCACCACTCCAAATCCTCTTCGATTCTGGTCACTGCAGTAGCTATCAGTTCTGCGAAGACTTCCACCAGTTTGCTATGGTATGGGCTACTATGACTTCACTTGCACATTTATGCAACCCATGGTGGTCCTTAACCAATGGGGATTAAAACTGACAGATAAATGCTTCCACCACTGGTTGCTTATGCAGCCGCTTCTCAGATACATTTCAGGAAGCTCCTCAGGATATTCTTTAAGATCAAGCACTGTTTGTCCCTTGTAGTGTCACCTTGAAAATTTATCTTTTTATTGACTTTGTCTCCTTCCCTGTTTCAATGCTCTCTGCATGAAAGACTTCATCGTAGGCTCTGTTTCTAGAGGAACCAAGGCTACCATAATTGGAATTTTGTAGCAAGATCAATGGTCAGCCATAACAGGAACTCCATTGTTGGTAGTAGGTGGAGTGGTGATATGTGTCCAGCAGTGTCCCAGTAAGACGTGATGGATTGGGATGGGAGGCAGGCAAAAGACAAAGCATTGGGGTGTGTGATTGTTATGGTTTGGATGTGAGGTATCCCCTAAAAGCTCATGTGTGAGACAATGCACAAAGGTTTAGAGGAGAAAAGATTGGATTCTGAGAACCTTAACCCATAAGTGAATCAATCCACTGATGGGATTAACTGAGTGGTAACTGAAGGTGGATAGGGTGTGGTTGGAGAAAGTGGGCATTGGGGGACATACCTTTGGGGTATATACTTTGTATCTGGCCAGTGGAGTCTCTCTCTCTCTGCTGCCTGATCATCATGTGAGCTGCTTCCCTCTGCCACACTCTTTAGCCACGATGTTCTGCCTCATCTTGAGTCCCGAGGAATGGAGCTGGCTGTCTATGGACTGAGACCTCTGAAACTGTGAGCCCCCAAATAAATTTTTCCTCCTCTACAATTGTTCTGGTCAGGTCAGAAAAATCTTAGTCACAGCAGAAAAAACTGACTAAAAGCTGATATCAGTGGTCCTTAAGTAGTATGGGAGGAATGGTGATTAGGATTGAGTGGGCTGGTGTGTTTGGACTTTGAAAAAAGACAACGACAGAGTTGGGTTAGTCAATTATCAACACAGGGAATGTTGTAAAAGCCAGAGTATCTGTTTGGAAGTGTTTTTAGAAGGCTCTCTTTGGCAGATACTGCTAAAATTCCGATATTTATGGTTACCCTCCATGCAAGCAACCTAGACAAATCAAGATACTCCTCAAGGGTTAAAGAAGCCTAAAATGGGCTGTTGAGGAGGGAGATGAAGAATATTATTGTGGTCTTAGGATCATCTGCAATAGCAGCAACTGGAACTTGATCCACTAACCCTCTTGAATTAAGTCTTTTCAGCAATTATGACATCTTGAAAGGGATTCTGGGATAGATTGAATTTACAGAAGGGCACAAATACAGGAAATGGATTCACCTACTGTGCACCTCTTCAAGTCCTCTTCTCATGACAATACTGTGGTAAGCAGGTCTGTGCAGTGTCAATCAGCTGTGCACAGGAGCATCCTGACAGACATTGGCCTTGTGCTGTGGCCCTCTAACCTCTGATGCTGGAGTGTTCTGGCACCACACAGGGGGACCAGATCAGTTCTCAGGTAGGCACAACTAAGAATTATGATGAAATTGACATCTGTGAGGACATCCTTCACCTCCGGGGATGAGGGTTTTTCCTTTCTTAGACAGTTTTGAGTTGCAATTTATAAGTTTCTCAGAAATCCTGTGGGATCCAGCCACCTGCAACAGTGGCTAACTTGAAAACAAAGCCTTGATGAACTTTGGAGTGAATTGTGATATATCCAAACTGCACATAGCATAATTTGGTCAACTTCATTCCCCTGTTCTTCTCCTTTCCCCCCCCCCCTTCTCCTTTTCTCTTGGTCGCCTACTTTTATTCTACTGATTTCTCTTCTATTTTCTCAAGATTCCCTCTTTTCTTTTTTTTTGTTCATTTTGCTTATGAGATAAAACATTCTACTCTTGACTTTTAAGTCTTTAATCAATGGTTTTATTTATTTATTTTTTTGTAGTGCTGAGGACTGAACTCAAGACCTTAGGCATGACTTGCAAGTGCTTGAACACTGAGCCACATCCCCAGTCCTGCATCCTTGGTGATCTTGATGACCTCCTGCGCGGTTCATGCATCTGTCCTATACTGCTGTTCCCTAGAATCACATTTTCAAAAGAACTACTATGTTTGAGGCTTTGTTTTGGTTTCTAGTTTTGGGAGAATCCAGGTTAAGACAGTTGTTAGTAGGGGGTAGAGGAGAAAGAGGGAGAGAATGCAGGACCACTCAGTTGGGGATACAAAGCAAGGGGAGAAATTGTGATCTGGTAAACTGGAAGAATATTTTGGGACATGAGAATCCAATTTTGTACTATGATATTTCTAATAACGAAGATGACACATTCAGGCCACATGCTTCCTTGTTAGAAACTCCTTAACCAGAGGAGATAGCAATTTTAGAGCTGGAAGGATCCTTGATTCTAATTTTTAGCCCATCTTTTATTTTAAAGAAAAGGAAGTTTGGGCTGGGAATATATTATAGCACATCTGATAAAAGGGTTTACAGTATGTCAAATCATCTAATGCGAACAAAAATAATAACTATTCCCCAAAGTGTAAAGTTATGTCCCTAAAAGTCTTGAAGACAGAGGAACAGGCAGGGTAGGATTAAGATAAAGTTAAGTGACGTGAAGGTTGACTTGTATCCAAAAGTTTAGGGATAGAATATTTTAAATTAAAGAAATTTTCAGTGCTGGGAATTGAACCTAAGGCCTCACACATGCTGGGCAAACACTCTACCACTGAGCCATATCCCTAGTTCAGAAGTGGGGATATTTTAGAGAGAGAAATAAATCTTTCCAGGACAAATTTTCCCTGGGACTTATTAAGTTTTTAGACATAAAAGAAGGAAACTAACACA